CTGGGAAAACTGGCTGACCACATGCAGAAGATTGAAACAGGACCCCTATCTATCCCCATACACAAAGGTTAACTCCAAATGGATCAGAGACCTAAATGTAAAACCTCAAACTATAAGAACCTTAGAAAATGAAGGAAATACCCTCATGGAATTCGGAACTGGCATCCAATTCCTGAACAAATCCTAAAACCCACATATCATAAGAGAGAAGATAGACAAGTAGGACCTTATTAAACTGACAAGCTTCTGCAAGGCCAAAGAAACCATCAAGAGAGCAGGGAGACAGCCTACAGACTGGGAAAAAGTATTTGCCAACACCAGGTCTGACAAAGGATTAACATCCTGGATCTACAAGGAACTCAAACAGGCTGAAAAGAAAAAAACAAACAACCCCATTATAAAATGGGCAAAAGATATGAACAGACACTTTACAAAAGAGGACATCCGAGCAGCCAACAAACACATGAAGAAGTGTTCAACCTCATTAATCATCAGGGAGATGCAAATCAAAACCACACTGAGATACCACCTAACTCCATTCAGAACGGCAATTATCAACAACTCAAAAAATAACAGCTGCTGGAGAGGGTGTGGCAAAAAGGGAGCACTTCTACACTGTTGGTGGGAGTGTAAACTAGTGCAACCTCTGTGGAAAGCAGTGTGGTGATTCCTAAAAGCTCTAAATATCAACCTTCCATATGACCCCACAATCCCCCTACTGGGAATATACCCTGAAGAACTCAAATCACTCTATAAAAAGATTCCTGCACATGTATTTTTATCGCAGCATTGTTCACAATAGCAAGAACCTGGAAACAACCATGCTGCCCATCAAAAGAGGACTGGATTTAAAAATGTGGTACATATACACGATGGAATACTATGCAGCCATAAAAAAGAACAAAATCATGAATTTCGCAGCAACCTGGTTGGAACTAGAGTCTATAATACTGAGTGACCTCTCACAGAAACAAAGATCTGAGTATCACATGTTCTCACTCATATAATGGTCTTATAATACTAAAAGAAAATGACTGACAATACTGGGAAACCATGCGGGGGGATGGGATTAACAGTAGTAAATATCTGTCTGGGGCTGGGGAAACACTTCTTATCAACAGGGAGCCTGAATGAAACATAATTGTACACCTAACCCTTAACTGTACCCCACAAAACTATAATAAAAAATATTGATAAAAAAAAAGAAAGATGAAGAAGAAGAGAAAAGAAGAGAAAAAAAAAAAAAGACTAAAATTAGCCAAGGCAGTGACAGATTTGTAGACTGAAAAATACAAAGCATAGTTAAAAGAAATTAAAGAAGATACAAATATATGAAAAGGCATCCTATGTTCATGAATTAGAAGACTTAAAACGTCTTCTAGTGTCCATACTACCCAAAGCAATCTACAGATCAATGCAATTCCTATCAAAATTCTAACAGTATTTTTACAGTAATAGAAAAAAATTCTCAAAATTCATATGGAATGCCAAAAGTCAAAACAATTTTGAAAAAAGAAAAACAAAGTTAAAGGCCTCACACTTCATTATTTCAAAACTTACAACAAAGTAACATTAATAAAGGCAATGTGGTACCAGCATAAAGACAGATAAACCAATAGAACAGAATAGAGAGCTAAGAAATAAAACCTGGATTACATGGTCAAATGATTTTTACAAGGGTGCCAAGACCACACAGTGAGGTAGACAGTCTCATCAACAAATGATCCTAGCTAAACTAGATATCCACATTCAAAAGAAAGAAGTTGATGAAAACATAGGAGAACAGCTTCAGAATATAAAATTTGGCAATTATTTCTTAGATATGACACCAAAATCACAGACAACAATAAGCAAAATAGACACATGAGGCTATATCAAACTTGAAAACTTATGCACAGCAAGTACAACAACCAACAGTGTGAATGGGCAACCTAAAGAATTGCAGAAAATATTTCAAAATCATGTATCTGTGTTAATATCCAAAAAGTATTAGAAACCTCTACAATTCAAAAACAAATACAAAAACCAGACAACCCAATTTAAAAATAAGCAAAAACTTTGAATAAACAATTCTCCAAAGAAGACATACAAATGACCAACACATCTACAAAAGTTCAACATCACTAATTACTAGAAAAATACAAATGAAAGCCATGATGAAAAACCATTTCACAACCATTAGGGTGACTAATATCAATAAAATAAAAAAATAAGTGTTGGGGAGAATGCACACAAATTGGAACTCTTATGTTCTGTTTACAGGAATGCGGAATGGTGCAACTGCTATAAAAACAATGTGGCAGCTCCTCAAAAAAATTAAAAATAGACTTATCACATGATTCAGCAATTTAAATTCTGGGTATATATTCCAAATAATTCAAAGTAGAATCTCAAAGAAATATTTATATTTGCACAACCATGTTCATTACCACATCATTCACAATAGTTAAAAGGTGGAAGCAACCCAAATGTCCACTGCTAGGTTAATGGACAAAGAAATTATGGAATATACATGTGATGGACTATTGTGCAGTCTTAAAAAGAAAGGAAATCCTATTACATGTGTATCTTGGCAGCCCCAAATTAGGGTGCTGACGTAAAGTTTATCTATTCTGAAGAAATTACCTGGAGGACAGGTTAATGAAGGTATAGGTTTATTATTACTTACAGAGGGAACAAAGGTGGCTGATTTTCCATACCCCAATCGACATGGGGAGAGAGTATAAACTCCAACATGGGAGAGAAAGCAAGCATCACGTCAAAAAGAAGAAACAAAGATGCTTTCTCTCAGAAGCCATCTTGTGTTTGCAGATACACATGTATTTTAGAACATTTCTACTAGAAACAGGCAGCCCCAGTCAAGGACCATTATCCCAGTCAGAAGATGGGAAAGGGCATGAGGTACATGTCCTGCATTTACCCCACAACATGCTATACCATGGATAAGCCTCAAGGACACTCCACTAAATAAAATAATCCAATGACGAAAGGACAGACATGGTAGAATTACACTCATATAATGTATCTAAAGTAGTTAACAATCATAAAAACAGAAAATATAAAGGTGGTTTCCAAGGGTTGGGGGTAGGAGAATCAGTGTATTAATGAATGTAGAGCTTCAGTGTTGTTAGCTGCAAAAGTTCTAGGGATCTGTTGCATGACAATATGAATCCACCTAACACTATTGAACCGTACACTTAGAATGTTTAAATGGTAAATTTAATGCTTGTGCTAATTACTGCAATTAAAAATAAACATTTAAAAAGTAGCTCACACAGCCTGAGAGATCCTGCTTTTGGTATTTTCTTAGCAACCTTTATTCACTGCAGGAAAATAATGCCATAATTACAAAGCGCATTTTTTCAGGTATACATGATAGTATACTGGTAAGCCAGGCAAATACTTTTAGAGTTCCTTTTGCACTAAGTGACAAATACTACCATAATTTTTTCTTGACTTAAAGGAATAAAAGAGAACAAAAAAACATTAATCCAGCTTTGCTTATTTATAACATCTAGAACTGATGTGTCTACTTCTAGTGAAGGTTGTTGCTTATCTGTAATGGTATCATTTTAGATGCAGCATCAATTTTTGCCAGAATATTAGGTAAAAATATGGCTAAGATCAGTAATTATTTGCTGTATCTACTACTGACCTAAATAAAGGTTTAGACATGACAGAGTAGTTAGAACACATGACACAGAGTAGTTAGAACACATGACAGAGTAGTTAGAACACCAAATCACGTGTAAGACCTGAAAAATGTTTGTTGCTAAGCCATAAGTACCAAACACTACAGGTGTTTGAAGGTGAAGGAAAGTAAAATCTGTGTGTATTTACAGAGTGTGCCTTCTTTGAGCAGAATTTTAACTAAAAAATGGAGGGAGAAAGAAGCAAAAAGGTGACCTTTGCAACATTACTAAGAGCAGGTAAGAACAGGGGTTATGACAAACATCTCCTTGGGTAAAACGAGTGAGCCATTGTGGAAAAAAAGTGAGAAAAATACAAGTAATTATTTATTTGGTCCCCTATTTTCTCACAAATGGTGAGAAAAATACCCATGAATGGTGAGAATGATGCTCATACAAGTCTTCACTTTTTAGTAACTGGAACCATTCATGTCTTTTAAAAAATATTGTGACTTCAGAAACTTAAGAAAAGTTAACACAACTGATTTCAAAGCCACAAAGGAATCATCATTCTGTGCAAATGTTTTACCAGTCTATGTTCTACTCAGGAAGTTTCACTGGTTGGTATGTACCTTAGCCTAATGCCAGATAACACTTGCTATTATTTATTGCTTTAGAAAACTCAGACAACACAAGTCTGGATTGGAGAAAAATTGATTTTTTACTAATTGTCAGTTGAATGAATCTCATATACCCTTATCCCATTCTCATCCAAAGCAGACGACAGCACACAAATAGTTCTCATGGATAAAGTCGCACTGAATTCTTGTGGTGGGGAACAGGGACTACCTAACCCTGAGTAGATCAAGAGCCTATTCTCAGTCATATTTACACAAAGCTTGAACACATCTCTGCTTTTGGCCAAATGAGTAGAAAGTCATTGAGAAGTTATGCTTTTATTTCCTGATCAAATAGATAAGTTTTTAAAAATAAGGCAGAGCCTGGTGGGAAAAGTACACATTATCTTTCACTGCATCTCTTAACCCTGGTGTAACTTCATTTGACATTCAATTTTCTCATGACCTTCTAAGAATTAATTTCCTTGTTTTGATTAAGAGGCATTTCGACTGACCTTCCTACAGGGCTAACTGTTGACAAGAATATATTCCGGAATACCAGTTTGTGAAACAACTAAAAAACATTTAGATGTAGCTGCCACACCAGAGAAATAACTGACAAGAAACTAGCAGACCCAAATCATTCATTCATTCACTTATTCATTTATTCAACATGTATTTATTGAATTCCTTGTCCTTCGGCATTTAGGCAAACAAGTTTTATTTGTGCTGTCTGGAGTTGGATCTTTCCTACCTGGAAGAATGGATTGTCCTTTATTTAAAAGAGGAAATTCTCTACAAATTTCCCCGTCTTCTTGATCTCGTGCCAACCATCGCTGAACTGGTATGCAAAAGTGTTTTCCAGAATTCATGTTTTGCAATTGTATCTATAACAACAACAATATTACTTGCAAAAATTTTAGGATTACTTTTTCAAAGAGTCAAAGTTTTCATCAAGCCTGCCACTTAGCTCAGAGTTCTTTTATATATATATGAGAAATTGTTAATAACATGACAGGAAAAGTTCTAAGTACAATGGTATTTCTTTTCTCTAAAATTTTTTCTATTTCTTTTTTGAAGATGAGACCTCACTGTGTTGTACAGGCTGGTTTCCAAATCCTGGGCTCATGTGATCCTCCTGCTTCAGCCTCTTAAATAGCTGGGTCGATAGACATGCACCACTGCACTTGGTTAAATTTTTCTATTTCTAATTTCTCTTTTTTGAAATATATATATTGAAAATGTCGATTTCTTCTCAAATTTTATGTCATTAAAAATTTCCTGTTTAGAAATACATGTTTATGAGTTTTAGAAATATATTATTTACCTGTTTCAACCTCTTAGAAATGAGTTTTTTATTTTAAAGTGATTTTGTAAAGTATTACCATGAGTTTAGATTTCATACAATACAGATTCATACTACACAGCTTGCTCTTCAGATCCTTAGCAATGAATAAAATTCAAGTAATAATTATTTATTTGGTCACCTATTATGTCATATCATATCTAACCCATTTATCCTAGAGTTAAACAAGAATGTTAATAAATTCTAGTAGAAATTTCAGAATGTCAAAAACATCAAAAAGTAAAAATTATGTTTTCTGATTTGAAAAGCTAGCCTTTCATGAGTAGGGTACTGTTGCTATTTTAAAAGCTTCAGTGAGGCATTATCTATTAAATTAATCTTACTCTTTTAAAAATACTTTAAATCAGAGATTTTCAACTTTAATGTATTTTTTAAATCACATTATTGAAAAAGGCAAATTTTCCAAGGTGCAGCTCTAGCAAGGTTTGTGGGTCTCAGACAGGTCCAGAAATTCACATTTATAAATGCACATCAAGTGTGATTTTGATGCAGTGACACTTTCAGAAAGGTTTCTTAAGAACGACAGATAATTAACTATTAGTTTGCAAGGCTTCTACTCCCTAACTATTGGACTTGGTTATTTTAATTAAAGTTCAAAGTTGATTATTTGAGAAATGGAAAATAGGCCAGCATTTTAAACATTTTATTTTGCAATCTTCTCTAAGTAAACTGGAAATAATAAAGATTAAGTTTCTAAAAGCAACATGATTATTTTGTAGAAATGTGGTAACATTGTTTGCTATTATGAAACTAGTTATTACAAATTGGCTTACCAAAAATTTCAGATTTCAAGCTTCTAAACGATAAGAATCTATTAGGAAATTTTCAACCCATTATTTAGTATCTTAATTTAGCCAAATAAATAAATTTGATAGGGATTTTATATACTCAGAATAAAACTTTGAATCAAGCATGTATCTCTTCTTCACTGGCACTCAATGAGATGTAAGGTAAACCTCAGGCAAACAAGTTATCTTGCAGTGAGAGAGTACTTGCCATTAAGAGAAAGACAATAGAAATCTTCAGCCTCATTTTTATATCAGTCCTCTGCAGTACAATATAATCTTTTCAGATCACCTAATACTTGTCTTAGCATCCCAGCTTCATAATAAATGTAATCTTGCTTATCAGTTATCAATCAAATGAGATGGCACAAGAAATAATCATAATAATTTTCATATGTTAGGTTAGCTTACAAAGAGAGAAAAAGGAAAAGAGATTAGTATCATATATAATCGCTTAAGAATTAATTTGAATACCATACCTCAAAAGCTGTATAGAGCATAAGCAGAATATTTCACATAAAAGTCATGAAGTAATTTTAAATTTGAAATCTAACTTCTACATATTGTATTTTTGTCAAGTGAGTTTCATTTTTTAATTCTGCTTCAGAATCCTTTGTAACTTTAATGTAAAGAAGATGGCATTATTAACAAATATATATTCCTGCTAATGGCATTTTTAAATATGTTTTCAGAAATTACTCATCTTCCATGAATTTTTCATTAATTTTTTCTCATGTGTTAAAATCATAAAAGAACAAGTTTGCCAAGAATATCAGTAATATGACCAGATGTTCTTCACATTTTGAATACTTGTTTAAAGATCGTTTGTTTTGAAATGATAGAATATGTAAATATACCATGCATAAAAATGGATGACAAGCTCTATAAGCTGCAGATTTGCATTTACTGGCAATCATAGTAATAAGTAGAATTTTTCATTCTGAACGATGTAGAGAATTTAAGCCTTTTTTCTCCATCTTAAATATACTCAAGAGGCACAATCTTGCTTAGCACAAGTAGACTAAATTTCAGAGCTAGCATTCAAGTCTAGCGGGGGGTTTTTTAAACCAACACAGTGGCTTATCTTTACAAACCTTCTAGAGCAAATGACATACAGGACTAGACATTTTTTCAATAGTACAACTATTTCCAGGAACGATATGAGATTATCCAGACTCACAAACATTTTCTTTTCTTTGCAAAGAGGTAAAAGGATTGCTTTATTAAAATTTTTTTTCCTCAATCAATTAGGGCTTAATTATTAAAGGCATATGATACTGCTGCCTTGAAGAATCACTGACTAAAAAGGTCCAGGTTTGACTTTATCAACTCACCATAGGCATTAAATGTCTCCTTAAGAACTGATTTCTGAAAGGAATTTGCAGAGCATTTTGCAAAGGATAGGAAAGTGTTGACATCTCCTTACCTCCTTACAGTGCCAGGAAGGGGAGTGTCCAGAGTTGGTATGACCAATACGAATCTTAAAGAGTGTTCCAATGTCTCCAACAGTGATCTATAAAGATCCAAGAGAACAAATTTCAATGTAATTTCACAAAATCCACTTAAAAACAGCTCAGATTAGGACAACATAAATGGACAAAGGGGTCAGCTCATCAAGAAGGTATAAGAATTATAAATCTGTGGACACAACAAAAGAGCTCGCAAACTGGAAAATTCAAAAATGTGTGAAAATTAAACAAAATACTCCCAAGCAACAAAAAGGATTTTAAAAAATTGCAGGGAAATTTTAAAAATACTTTGAGATAAATTAAAACAAAAACACAGCATGCAAAAACATAGAATACAGTAAAAGCAGAACTCAAAGAGAAATATAACTGTAAACATCTACTGAATTGAGAAAAATCTCAAATAAATCACCTAACTTTACATCTTAAGAACTAGAAAAAGAAGAGCAAACTAAACCCTAAGCTAGCCGAAAGAAGGAAATAATAAAGATTAGAGTGATGATAAAATCAAGTATATAAAAACAGTAACAATGAAACCAAATGTTGGTTCTTGAAAAAAACCAGAATTCACCAACTTTCAGCCAGTCTAAGAAAAAAAGAAAGAATTGTCAAAATCAGAAATTAAAGTGAAGACATTACTACTGACTTTACATAAATAAAAAGGATTCGTTTTTTTAAATGCTGTGAACAACTGTATGTCACCAAATTAGGTAACCTAGATGAAATAGACCGATCTCTAGAAACACACAAACCACCTTAACTGACTCAAGAAGAAATAGGAAATATGAATAGGTCTATAATAAGTAAAGAGGTGAATCAGTAATCAAAGAACCTTCAACCAAGAGAAGTCTAGAAGGATAGAGGTTTCACTGGTGAATTCCACCAAATATTTAAAGAAAAATTAACACAATTCATACCAAACTCTTTCAAGAAATAGAAGATGTAGGAACAGTCTTTAACTCACTTTGTAAGGTCAGCATTACACTGACAACAAAACTATCAAAGATATAACAAGAAAAGAAAACTAGCCGGGCTCGGTGGCTCAGCCTGTAATTCCACGCCTTTGGGAGGCTGAGGTGAGTGGATGGCCTGAGCCCGCGGGTTCGAGACCCGCCTGGGCAGCGAGACCTCATCTCTACAATAAATCAAAAAATCAGCTGGGCGTGGTAGCGCATGCCTGTAGTTCCGGCTACTGGGAAGGCTGAGGCGGAAGGATCGCCAGAGCCCAGCAGGTCGAGGCTGCAGTGGCCGGGAGCGGCCACTGCACTCCAGTCTGGGCGACAGAGTGAGACTCCAACTCAAAAAAAAAAAAAAAAGGAGAAAACTATAGACCAAAACTCCTTATAAGTAGAGATGCAAGTATTTTCAACAAAACTAGCAAATAAATCCAAAAGTATGTTAACAAAGTCATACATTATAAATAACGGGTCTAATCTCAGAAATGGAGACTGGTTCCACATACAAATATCAATGTAATAAATCACACAAATAAAAATGAAGGAAAAACACATAATCATCACAATTGATGCAAAACAACAAAAGCACATTTGACAAGATCCCACACTCTTTTATGACTGAAAAAACACTCAACAAACCAGAAATAGAAAATAACTTCCTGGACATGATAAAGAGCATTTATGAAAAATGTATAGATGACCCCATACTCAATGGTGAAATACTGAAATGTTTCCCCAAAACAGGACCAAGACAAGGATAACATTTTTTGCCACTTCTATTCCACACTGTACTAAAATTTCTAGGTAGAGCAATTCAACAAGAAGAAATTTAAAACACAAATTAGAAAGAAAGCGTATCAGGGGTTGCTAGGGGGTCCTGGAAAGGGAATAGGGAGAAAACTGCATAATGAGGTTTCCTTTTAGAGTGAATAAAATGTTCTGGAAGTAGATAGCAGTGATGTCTGAATAACATTGTGAATGTAATATAGGCCACCGAATTGCACAATTTAAAATATTTTAAGTGACAACTTTTGTGTATTTTACCACAATTTAAAAAAGAAAAAAAGTTTTATGTAAAGAAATGACAAAAGGGGAAAAAGGAGAAGGGAGCACAGTTTGCCTAAAACCCTTACAAGAAAACAATTCATCAGAATAAATGAAGCTATGATCAAAATTAGCATAAAATTACCACATTTAATAAAGCATTACCTCTACAAGCAAAAGATAAAAGCCATGTTAGAGTTCAAGCAAAACAGGGCAAGACAACAGAAAGAGCTGAAATGTAAGTAATAGCTATAAGAGAAAAGAAGCATCAAGGTAAGAAAATAGTTTTCCATGGGAGAATAAAATGGGAAGGAGGGATTAAAAGTGCTCTTAATGTTACAGAACTGGAAATTGCTTAGCCCTATAAATTGTGTGAAAATATAATTCAATTTAAGTGTAAATAAATACTAAAATAGCAAAATAATAACAAAATGGCTTAGACTATCTTTGGTATAGTCACTTCTAAAATGATTTTCTACTCATGCAAAAGAATAACAAAATCTTATTTTTTTGCTTTTACTTATAGCGACCATAAAAACAAACAAAAAAAGTTTCTTTAAACATGGACTCATATGGAAAGAATAGTTCAAATTAGTCTAATGGAAACCAAGTTTCCAATGGTTCGGCCTCTCCTGTGACATATATGGGCTACGTACACAGGTTGTAGTAAACCAGATAACCAGGATCGCATGTAGGTGGCCATCCTGTGAAAATGATAGTGAAGAGCACCCTTTTTTGATTGTTATTCTATTCTCTGCCTCGACCTAGTTCAAACTGATCTTTCTGCACATCCATTTGTTCATTCAACAGACATTATTAAGCACTTATTAGTACTAGGTGCATGATTCATTTCAAGTCTCACCCTTGTTGGATAGTATTTCTGACTTTAACAACATGATACTTATCTCCTCATTTCACCTTTGCTACCTCCACTTCTATCTCAATCCTGATCTCAGTGTGTCTAGCCACACTGTTAACTGTTGGTAACAGTTAACAACAAATAAAAACTAATAACTAATAGCTTGAAGACAATTTGTTTGCCCTCCTTGTTTCATCATTTTATTTTACCCTCTTTTATCTTGACTGTGGGCTTCATCTGTGGAGTCCCAATGGAATAAGTTCTTGCTCCTGTCAGCTACCAATATAATATAAAACAATAAATATTGACCATCTAGTATTTTTCTTTAGCTATTGTCTCTTCCCATATTGCAGATTTACTTGTGCTAAATCTACTTAAGCAAAAATGTCCATGAATTACTTTTGATTGACCTTCTACAAGGCACATAGTGTTATAATAGAAAGAGCCGAATTTTAGAGATAGCATTCATTCCAAAGTGCCTACTAGTTATATCACTTATATTAACTATTTTACTTGGTTTTATTACTTACAGCAAATATGTCTTCATGGCCATCCTGAAATTGAGTCTCGTCTGTTCCAAAAAGATATATGGGGGCTGAGCTTCGATGTTGTCCATATAGTATGATATAAATCTGTGAGCTGGTCCCTGCATTTGGCAAGTCACTGGTGATTATGACAACTTTCCAGTTACTACCTACAGAGGCACAAATAACGCACAGCATTATGGCAACTCAAATAAATGAAAGACTCTGAAGAGTAGGTCATCATAGAGCTAGGAGAGCTCATGATAGACATAACTTACTCTTCTTCATCTCCTCTGGCAAATTGTCATAGCAGAGGATTTAGACTTGGCATTTTAAATACTCAATAAAATTGCTATGTTTATAATGTGACTGTGAGAGTATTTCCCAAAAGATCTTTAATAAGGTGGCTAGCAGAATATCACTACATTATTATAGTTGGTCATGCCTGAACTCCAAGGGAGTCATTATATAACTTCTTTGAAGAGTCCAGTATCTTGATAAAATATCTCCAGTATTCTTAGCTCTAGCATGTAATATGGGCATTCAGAATTATGCCTTTTAAGATTTTTTGAGCTCATTTATTTTCCAAAATAAGAATTATACAATAATTTATATAAGAATATAAATTGGAATCAGATGAGTTAGAAATAATTTGAGAAGTAATCTGTTACAGTTTCTTCATGTATTATTTTAAGTATCCCCAATTAATTAATGAGATAACTGAGCTCCAAAACATTAAGTTAATTTTGTATCACCCAGAAACAAATGAAAACAATACTAGAAAGTATATGGCTCATTGTGAACATGACTGAGAGTGTGTCCTACACATAGTAAAAAAAAGCCATGTTAGAAACAAATCATCTTGGTAGATGATCAGTTAGTAAATAGAAATGCAATTTTTTTAAATGGGTAGAGGATGATAATATATCTTTAACAATAGTAGAATCAGTTAAAGTGAAATTATAAATGATAGCGCTGAAAAAATTCTAGCTATATTCTGTAAAATAACTAATACATTAGTACTCATTTGAATAAAATGAAATAAAGTTCTTCAGCTTCTCCTCTCTTAGATATGCAGCAAAGAATTCAGTGGAGAATCAATACTTGCTAAGTGTGTGCGACCAAGTCAATAGAAAAAGGAACTGCATGTTTCAACAGCTAGGATGGAAAAGCATGAAAAATGTAGAAATGGAAATAAAAATGAAAATAATGAAATATGATATCTGTTTACTATAGGTTTTTTCACTTTTTCTAAATTATTTAATTTATTAAAACCTACAAGTGAGTATTATAAAAACTGGAGTGGAGTCTAAAGATCATGATCCAAGATACATACTTCTGTTTATAATTTACCCTTAAAACAATTTATGAGCCAACAAGTCATTGAATCATTAGCAGGTGTCCAATGTCTAGGGAGGAGTAGAAGAAAAACCTAAGATGCTATCTGTGTCCTCCATTAGCCTGTAGTCTTTATGAGGTAATAGGCCTACATATCAATAAAGAAATAAAAAATCAAAACATTTTTATGTAAGATTTTAGTGGTGAGTCCAGATCACATAAAAACTAACATAATGAATAAGAAAAATTAGAAGGAGAGGAGAGGGAGAAGAAGGAGGGAGAGGATATGGGGGTGGAAGGAGAGGAAGAGAAGAACAACAGCAAGAAGCCAAAAGCATAAAAGAAAAAAAGAAACATCAGTAGAAATTTTAAAAAGTACAAAACCGTATACCATCATCCTTGTAAAATAGAAGCCAAAAGGCAAGTGAGGCAGGAAATTTCAGAAATTTGTAGGGCATCCTTTTCAGTTTTTCAGAAATACTGTGAGAGAAAAACATGTAAGTAGACAAAATTCTAAAAATCTTAATACTCTTATAATCATTAGGTCTCAGTTTGATAAAGAATGAGTTGAAGGGGTGAGTCAATGAACTGGAGAAAAACAGAATGCAGGTAGTGGGAAAATAGCTTTTATTTTCTTTATATGAGCAATTTAGTCATTGAATAAGCACACAGCCTGAGGAGAGACTCAAATTACCATAAAAGATACACACACAAAATAGAAAATTAGAATTGACGTATATCTTCTAAAAAATAATAATGTATTTTTATTTTATTTAAAAATTTTTTAATCAAAGAACTTCAGGCCCAGATGGTTTTACTGGACCTAGAGTTCTATCAAACCTTTAAAAACGTATCTATTTGGAAAGATCCAAGATGGCCACTGAGGAGTACCCAATCTCTGCCTCTCTTGCAGAATGAAACAGAGAGAATGGACCTAGTTGCCAGTAAACTCAGGCAGCTTGAGCAGTTGTGGGTAGAGAAAGCACCCTGCATTCTGCTGAGGGTTCTTGGAACACATAGGGACCAGGGAGAAGGGAGTGCGGGCTGCCAATGTTAAAAACATGGGGGAGTGTCATCCCTGCCAGGTTCCAGGCTCACATAGGATCTGTAGCCTTGACTTGTGTGCAAGAGTGGGTAGGTGCTTCTGAAACGGTCTGAATCAATTCTCCTGTTCTTAGCCATGAATCCTTGGTTCCACATAGGAAGAGACCTGATTCAGGCACAGAAACATTTGACTGCAGCCCACATGGAACTGGGAACCCATGTATGCTCTGAAGTGCTATGGCCAGTCAGCACCAAGAATAAATCTGCTATTTTTAAAGTGCTGAGCAGGGACTTTGATGGGGGAAGGGAAATGTCAAAGTCACCTGGAGGCTTTATTTCCTGGCAGGAATGTTTCTGGTCTGTGAAGAGCAAATGATGCCAAAACTTTTGTAGTACTCCCAGCTGCCAGGAAGCCCATCCCTGACCCAATCCCTGCATAGAGTTTGCAATGGGAGTCAGAAAACAATCTGGCTGATCTAACCATGGGAAAAACTCTGTACCAGAAAGCTACTTTAGGTTCAGAGCACTGCCTAGCAAGAGTGATGGAACAGAAGTGAATGTCCCTCTCTCTTTCCCTGAGTGAACTACTTTGAAATGACATGAAAGACCCTAGGACAGTTTTGTATTTAGCTACAAAACAGCAAAACTAAAGATTAACAATAAAAAGAGAAAAGTTGCTCCTCACAGATGAGGAAGAACCAGTAGAATAACAATGGCAATCCCCAAAGCCTCAAAGAGGCATCACCTACAAAAGGAGCTGTCATGCCAAAAAATGGAAGCCACACAGAACAACCTGCCCCTGAGGAAAGGATACAGAATTCAGACATTGGTTGGCAAAAACAGTTAAGGAAAACCATGAAAAACTGGAAGCAAATAATATCCAAGTGATAAAAGCTATGCAGAAAGTAAAAGTTGAGCTGGCCTATATAAGAAAGATCCTTTCTGAAATCCTGGAAGTGAAGAATTCCCTCCTGGAATTTCAAAGCACTATAACAGGCCTAGGGAGCAGAATCAATCAGAGAGAAGAATCTCCGAGCAAGAAGATTAAAATACTGAACTAACTCAGTCTGACAAAAACAAGAAGAAAAGGCTCAAAAAGAATATGCAAACTCTATCAGAGGTGTGGGACTATGTAAAAAAGTCAAATCTACATTTGATTGGAATCCCCAAAACAGAAGGGGAAACAGAACACCATGGAACAAGTCTTTCATGAGATCATCCAAGAAAATTCCCCATATCTCTCTAGAGAGGCAGCCATCCAAGTGCAAGAGATCGAGAGAAAACCCACAAGGTATTACATGAGAAGACCATTCCCAAGACACAGTAATCTGCCTTCTCAAGGTACGCATGAAAGAAAAAATCCTAAAAGCATTAAATGGATAGAATAAGAGAGTAGAGTCAGACCACCCACCAGGGAAGACCCATCAGAATTGCAGCATAATTCTCAGCAAAACCCCTACAAACCAGAAGGAACTGGCGTTCCATCTTTAATGTTCTTAAAGATAAGCAATTACAGGCAAGAATTTCCTACCCCACCAAGATGAACTTAATCAGTGATGGAAAATTAAAATCCTTCTCAGACAACCAATACCTAAGAGAATACATCAATTGCAGACCAATCCTGCAGGAGATGCTTTATAAAGTTTTGAGTACAGAAACAAAAGAATGATTACACCCTTCACAAAGCACAGGCAAACACAGAGTTAGCATAACACACAGATCATCATATATATATATATATATATATATATATGAAGCAAAGCAACCTTGGAGGGGCACATGACAGGGATAAACCCTCACTGTATCAATTATTAACTTGAATGTGAATAGACTAAGTAAGCCATGAGCAAGGCCTAAAGTAACAAACTGTATAAAGATACATGATCAAACATTCTACTGCCTCCAGGAAACCCATTACCAAAGAACATCCACAGTCTCAAGGCAAAGGTATAGAAAATGACCTTCCAGGAAAAAGAAAAGCAGGAGTAGCTATTCATATCTCAGAAAAAACAGACTTCAAACCATTAACAGTTTTAAAAGGACACAGAAGAAGATACCACATAATGACAGAAGACTCTATCAGCAATCAATATCCATCTTAAATATATGTGCACCCACTACAGAAGAACCCCATTTTATACAACAATTGCTATCCAAACTAAGAAAGTACATAGACACTCACACGATCATATTCAGAGACTTTAATACCCTGCTAACTGCCCTGGAAGATCATCAAGGCAAAAAAACAACAAGGAGATCTGGAACCTTACTGAACTCATCACCCAACCAAATGGATCTAAAAGACATCTTCAGAACACTCCACCCAACAACTACAGAGTATACTTTCTACTCATCAGCACATAGAACAAACTCTAAAATTGATAATGTTCTTGAGCATAAATCAAGTATAAACGAACTTCAAAAGGTTGAAATAATGCCAAGCATCTCAGATCACACAGGAAGAAAAATAAATATCACCACTTACAAGATCTCCCCAAAACACACAAAGACACAAAACTAAACAATATGCTGCTAAATGACTTTTGGGTCAACACAGCAATCAAGACAGTAATAAAACGATTCCTGGAAACAAAGGAAAACAAAGATACATCTTACCAAAAACACTTGCAATGCCATGAAGTCAGTGGTGTGAGGGAGATTCATTGCATGTTCATATCAAGAAAATAGAGAACTCACAAGTGAACAGCCTAATGCCACACCTAAGGGAACAGGAAAGACAAGAACTATCAAATCCTAATTTTGGTAGAAAAATCCAAATCACTACAAT